ACAATTTATCACAAATGCATAATTTAAAAGTAATGCAACAATTACAAATGTTCATCCACAACAATTGATTAAAGATTGATTACACATTCCATACCTGAATGAACACAGAAAAAAGGCACAACACTATTAGTGCACAAATGCATAGAGCAGAGTAAAGTACCTGGGAACAAAAAGTTGTCAGTGTTGACACCTGGAGAACATCCCTCAGAAAATATTCCACAGAAGCTGGGAGTGTGAGTTCCACTGCAAAAACCTGTTCTCCCTTTAGCATCCTCTGAACTTCTCTTAAAGGTGGACCAGGGCCAGCCCATGACATTTGGCTACCTGAGGCGAACCACAAAATGGTGGCCCCCTCTCCACCAGGGAAGAAGGGATGAGTCAACATCTACATCATGATGGGGAATGAAGATCTACATTGGGATCTGCTGCCCCTGTGGATCCTGCCACTCAAGGTGGTTGCCTCACCTTGCCTCATAGTATAATAATAATAATTGTTATAATAAATAATAATAATATATTATTTATACCCCACCCATCTGGCTGGGTTTCCCCAGCCACTCTGGGCGGCTTCCAACAAAAGATTAAAAATTAAAACATCAGTCATTAAAAACTTCCCCAAACAGGGCTGCCTTCAGACATCTTCTAAAAGCCAGATAGTTGTTTATTTTCTTGACATCTGATGGGAGGGCATTCCACAGGGCGGGCGCCACTACTGAGAAGGCCCTCTGCCTGGTTCCCTGTAACTTGGCTTCTTGCAGTGAGGGAACTGCCAGAAGGCCCTCGGTGCTGAACCTCATAGGCCCTGGGTGGAACACAAACATGGGCCTCCTGATAGTGATCTCAGTGTCTAGGTGAGCTCATATGGATAAAAGGGGCCATCTATCCATTCTTCTTTCCTACCTTCTCCCCTCTCTCCCAATAACATCTCACGTTGGTGTGATTGGTGTCCTGAGCTACCTAAGGCTTTATAGGCCAAAATCAATACTTTGAATTACACCTAGAAATGAATTGGCAGCAACTATTGCCAGGCCAAAATTCATGTCATATGTTTCTATAGCTTGGTCCCTGTCAGACAGATTCTGCACCAGCTGAGGCTTTTGAAAGATCTTCAGAGGCAGCTCAATGTATATAATATGTTGCAGTAATCTAAGCAAGAGGTTACACAAAGCAAGAGTGTAAATCACTGAGGCCAGGCCATCTGCACCTGAATAAAGTCACAACTGAGCCACCAGCCAAAGCTAATAGAAGGCATTCCACACCAGGAAGGTCGCTTGTATCTCCAGTAAGAGAAGTAGATCCAGGACTGTCATGAAATTGCCCTCTTGTTCCTTCAGGGGACGTGTCTTTGCTTCAGCATCAGTTGCCCTTCACTTATCTCGATAAGAGAGTCACCTACTAACCATAACTCTGTCCTATGTGGACTGGATTCTTGAGTCTCATCCAGTCCATTACCACGATCAGGCACCAGTTCAGCATATCCACTGACACATCTGCTTGAGGTGAAAAGGGCACGACAGAGCTGCAGGTCTTCAGCATACTGATGACAATGCACTCCCAAACTCCAGGTGAGCCCACTCAGCAGTTTTATGGTGCGTAGGGATAAGATTGTTGCCTCTGGAACACCCTGAAGTCTCTGTGGGGCTGAGCAACATTCGTCACCTTCTAAAATCAAGGTAGGACAGAAACCACTGCAAGGCAGCACTGCCTACCCGCAACTCAGAAAGCCATTCTAGAAAGATAGTATGGTTGATGGCATTGAAAGCCTCTGAGAGGGCAAGAAGGATCTGCAGGCTCACACTCCTTGTCTTTCTTCCAACAAAGGTAATCTACCTGTGCCCAAACCAGGCCTAAACTCCAGCTGAAACAAATCCCCCAAATTAGTCTCATCTAGGAATGCCTGAATCTGGTTGATGAATAAGCTTCTAGCCACTTTCGGCTTCCTTTTAAAGCATCCTTTCATTTTTGACAAAATTCTTTATTTTGAAATTATCTTGAACTCTGGATTTTCTGAGCAATTTGTTAGCATGTGAGGTAAATGGTAGGAAGAGTAGGTTCCTCCAAGGGTTTCTACTGGAGCATGTACTATTTAACATGTTCATAAAGATATGGAATCAGGATGACCACAGAGGAAGCCAAGTTTACTGATAACACCCAAAGAATAAGCCAATATTTATATGTGGGAGCAAACACAGTGCATCTACTTTGTGCTTCTTGCAGAATCTCAGCTGCTGATTTATGCTGCACACGGATGCTGGTAATGTAACTGGCTTGTTTAACCCTATTGTATACAACTCCCTGGCATGGTTCTAAATACAGGCCTGCAGCAGGGGCACTGGCTGTTGCTTTTCTTGAGTAGAGAGGAAAGGCAGAGTCTGGTGGCTGATTGTGTTCACTGCGCCTGACTACAACAGACTTTTTTCATCCTGAACACCACTCAGGAATACCAAGGTTTCTCCTTGGCTGTTGATCTCCTCTGTGTCTTCTTCAACATAAAGACTGATGCTGCTCTCAGCAGTTCCTCACAGCAAGTGTGCCCTAGCAAGCAAGGAAAAAGAATTTCCCGTTGTGAGTAGCGGCTTGTTTTCCTACCCTCTGCAGACCAGGAGGTAATTACAAGAAGCACAACAGCAGTGGCACATGCTAGAGCAGCAAGCTTGCTTGTACAGAATTTCCTGCCCAACTTTCATTCCCCCTCTCTCTAACTCTCAAAGCAGGTAATTTCAACAACACATCTATAGAGGGAGAAAAGCATTTTTGGGTCATCTCCATGAACACTGCAATTAGTAAAGTATTTGAAGTTAATTGTGTGTTTGGGTGTGTATCTACTACTCCCCATATTTTTTGACTGCTGCAGGAAGGGTTAACTGGGCAAGGGAAATCTTTGTGGTGGTTTATTGGGCTCCAGTTAACTACTGGGTGTTCCATCAAGCTGCCACCAGCCTGACAAGTTAAAGCCAGCTTAAGAATAATGAGTGCTAATACCCATCAGAAAGGCTATACTAAGTGAGACTTGTTTAAATGCATAACAATAACTGCAGAACTATAGGGGACTGTCGGATCTGTTGGTAGATAAAGTAAAACTGGATGGATTCAAAAGAGACAAATCGGGGCTTTGGAGAAGTTAAAAGATAAAAATACACATCACGAACAAGCTGAGGCTTTAAGGTGACTGATCTGTTTGACTGATCTGGAAAGCTAATAGCAAATTTGTTGGGGTGGGGGAGGGGAGGGAAACTAGCGAGACAGAGATTGGATCAAAGAGGCAGGGTGTAGGCGATGCTCCTCTTTGACATTTGCCAAAGATAAGAATGACAAGCTGGGTTCAAAAGTGCAGCAGTGTTGTTGGTGGAGGTGACAGGTCTTGGTCCCCTGGTCAATCCAAAACATTTTGCTGCCAGTGGTCAACACAACCTCCCCACCCACCAAGTCAAGGTAGAAGGCACCAAGTCTTGCCACAATAACTTGGCACCCAAGGCAGAAAACCCTGTACTGCCATTCTGGAAAATTGCAGTTGTGTGAGGGGAACAGGGGTACCAAGATTCTCTGGGGGAAGCCGTAGCTTTCAGTGATACTGCTTTAAATGTATAGTGAAGACCCAGGCTGGAGATTCTTCTTCAGAGCAAAGTGTATTGTTCTAGGTGGCGCAGTAGAGTGGCTGCGCTGGTGCTCCCTTTTTCCACAGCAGCTGGAAGTTCTCTGTTCAGTTTAACTAAAAGTTTAAAACTCCTTGAACTTTAAATTCACTCTTCAAAAGTGTTTCCAGCCATTGCATAAAAAAACAGTGGCTGCAAAGGCTCTCTCCACTCACCCAGCATGTCTTGCTTTGAGAAGGACGGGGTGGGCCACAAAGGGTGCTGTGTGTGTTTTTCTCTCTGCACCCTTCTGCCCACCACATTGGAAACATGTTAAGAATGGGACTGAGGGAATCCTTGAAAAGGAAAGGGCGGTGGTAGTGTCACTGAGTTATCTGTGCCCCAGCTGAAGGGTTGGGACTGACATAGATGGTATGAGTCTTGCTTGAGGATTTCCCAAGCTTGAGGACTTCTGTGGTGGAAGTGGGATGGTATACTAGACAAACCTTGACCTGGTCCCCATAGATGCTAACTGTGTTCTTTGGTCAACTTCCATCCCCCCCATCGAATTCTCTCCCTCCCCATCATCCTATTTTTAGCTGAACATAAAACCAGGTCTTCAGGTGGAGAGCAAGGCACTTGTCTTCTGTACGTATTTTGCTCTGCTGAGCCATGCTTTCAGCTGGCTCTTTGCACAGAAGCTTTGAGAGCTGCAGGTGCAAAAAGTATCTGTAGCCGTTCCCCTCCCCAATGTAGGTCCAGTTCAAAGGTTCATGGCAACATAAACAGCTTTCCAGCACCCACCCTGCTTTCCACTGTACCCTGGATAACATTAGATTTAAATCTAGGTTTCCCCCTTCATAGGCTCCCGAACAGTGCATCTATATAGCAGGTACCATGATGGGTATCTTCATCTCCAGTTACAGTGGTACCTTGGGTTACAGACGCTTCAGGTTACAGACGCTTCAAGTTACAGACTCCACTAACCCAGAAATAGTACCTCGGGTTAAGAACTTTGTTTCAAGATGAGAACAGAAATTGTGCGGCGGCGGCACAGCAGCAGGAGGCCCCATTATCTAAAGTGGTACCTCAGGTTAAGAACAGTTTCAGGTTAAGAACGGACCTCTGGAACGAATTAAGTTCTTAACCCGAGGTACCACTTTATAGGAAAGTATAGAATAGTCTCATATTAATAAATCTAGCCCAATAAAGAAAATAACTGCTATGCTTCTTTTGCTTGCTAAAGATCTGAGGTTCTGTCCCTGCTGATGTTTCCGGGTAGGGCTTAGAGAGACTCCTATCAGGAACCACTGTGCTAGATGGACCTGTGTTGCATCTAGAGCACAGAATCATAGAATTGTAGAGTTGGAAGGGACCCTGAGGATCATCTAGTCTAACTCCCTGCAATGCAAGAATCCTGCCCGCAGCCATCCCTGGGTGGACTCGAACCACCATCCTTCTGGTTAATAGCCAGAAACACTGACCCATTGTGCATCTAGATGGGTTTGACTTGGTATAAGGCAGCTTCCTGTGTTCCTATGTAATCTGATTGGTCTCAAAGGGTTGTTGGGGGTTCCCGTGCAGCTGTGTTGCAAATAACACACGTCCTCGCCTTGGGTTTACATCCTCGTGATATTGCAGTTGGAGTGTAGTACATGGCAATGGGGAATGGGCCCACCACAATATGGAAGCTGCTGCTTTTCTATCTGATTGTTTCCCTTCTTGTTAGTAGGTCAGGGAAATCTTGAAATTGCAGTGGCTCCCTTGCCTTTCCTCCTGCTCTATGAAACTATTATGTGTCTCAGACAAAAGCAAACAAAGATGGGAATGAAAGTAAATATAGCGACTGCATTTGGGTGCTTGGAACATGATTTGTTGTGTGGGATTTGTAATGGTACTTGCCTCTCTGTTACAAAGAACATGGGAGAAAGTCGAGGGAGAAGCCACAATCAAAGAGCATTCTGTGCTCCCTTCCAAACAGTGAGATTACATTTGTAAGATAAAATTGTACCATTAAAAAGGAGGGACAGGGAGAGAGATGTAAATACTCAAATACCTTGTTCTAATAGGAACTTGCAAAGCATTAAGAAGAAGAATTGGAACTTATTCCATCCAGCTGTTCCTTTCTTTTCTTCAGTTTGTCCTAGTTGGTGTGTGTATGACAAAAGAAAGCCTTAAAATAATGGCAGTCACCAGCCACCAATTATTAGAAACATTACCTAGGCAACATTTCAAAGGGTATTTTCATTTCCCCAAAAATATATATTTCTAAACAATTTTTTTTGGACAATCAATATCTGTTGATGCCAGTAGAAGTTATCTACATGGAGTAGAATGATGCTTTGGTCCAGCTTTCTAAGCTGCTGTTACACCAGGGCTCATGCAATTGTATCATAGGAAAAAGAGGGCTGGAGTCTTGGATTCCACTTCACCCCCCTTTCCCTGACACGCTGGTGTCTACAGCCAACTCCAGACAAGCTTTGCTTCTAAGGTGCCTGCTGGCCTTGAACACAGAATACAAAGTTGGCTTGTTTTGCTGGGGCAATGCTAGCTGAGCCCCTTGAATTTCCTCAACAGGGTGGAGTACAGCAATCAGAGATGTGCTATGGCAAAGTTGGATTGAGGGCCTCAGCTCATTGCACCACAGAAGAATTGGAGCCACCCTGTGTGGTCTGATGCTTCACTACAGCTAATGCAGATACTGTAAGTTCTATGCGGAGGATTCCCAGGATTCCTGGTCCTTTTCCCAGCCCCCCTGGTGCTGAGGGCACTGCTGTGGTAGCATTTCAGGGCATAACAGGGGCATGTTATGACGCAAAGCAATCATTCAAATGTGCGATTCTCAAGGCCGTGATCTCTGGCCGCCCCAGTTATAGAAAATGGATTAGCCTGTGAAAGATGTTGCTTTTATGTTCCTCCTAATGTACTGTCAGCTATTTGTCTGCAATTAATTAGGACTGTGTTAAATGTCCTGTCTGATCCATGCATATGGGTCATTAATTTCTGTAATTATAAAATCTGTTCCTAACTCACAAACTTAGATCAACTCTACTCCAAACCAACAATTTAGATGGCCCAATAATCTGGAAGAAGATCCCCTCCCCGCCTTATCCATATTTCATTCCATATATTGGTAATATCCAGATATTGTTTGTTTGCTACTTTGGAAACCATAACTCCAAAGAAGAGAACATCTGGGAAAGCTGAGATTTGCGGGGAAACCAAGGAGGAGATAGTGGGGCGGGGCGGGGCAGTCACCTGACTTCCCAACAGCTGAGTCAGTGATGCTTACTGAGAAGTAGCAAGGAGGGGACGGGAGAGGCAGCAGGAAGGTTGGTACTGTGTAAACAAACTGACCTCCCTCCTGCCTCAACAATCTCCTTCCCTCCCTCTGAGTAAGTACCAGTGACTCAGCTGTTGGGAGGTCAGTTGAATGCTGCTACAGTGGTACCTCAGGTTAAAAACTTAATTCGTTCTGGAGGTTCGTTCTTAACCTGAAGCTGTTCTTAACCTGAGGTACCACTTTAGTTAATGGGGCCTCCTGCTGCTGCTGTGCCGCAATTTCTGTTTTCATCCTGAAGCAAAGTTCTTAACCCGAGGTACTATTTCTAGGTTAGTAGAGTCTGTAACCTGAGGTACCACTGTACTGGGAATACATCAAAGGAAGCCTGATCCATGCCAGCACTTCTATGATATGGGTTTTTTGTTTTTTAAAAAGTGCTTGAATCGTAGGTGGGGGCAGGGGAAACCCCACATATAAAGGAATGTTGCACACGTCCTGCTCTCAGCGGCAGAATGCCCAAAACATATTTCGGCTTGTGCTCACCTTTGCTGGGCTGCACTGGGCTGCGCTGGGACCCTCAAAAACCAAAACTCTTCAGAACTTTAATATGAAATATTTAAAGGACTGAAAGAGCTGCCAAGGATGAGATCGGTAAGACTACGTATTGCTATTGAAAATGGGGAAATATGAATAAATCATCAGCTATTTACAGTGCACAGCTTTTGTCTACTCTGACTAATGAGGAGAGAGCAGCGCAACCCGCTGTTTTGACCACCGTACGCAGAGGTGGTTTTGATTTTACGCAACGTGAACACGTGTTAAGTGTGTGGCTGTGGGCTGCTTCTGAGACCGTCAAAGGCTTAATCTGCATTAGCATGAGAATCGGGATACATCCTTTGCGAAAATGCAGAACGCTTGGACCATTCACATTCCATTTTCTTCCCCTCAGCGTACTTTCAGTTATTTATTTTGGAAGTCTGCCTTGCATGGATGGGTTTTGTATAATGCTCCGATGACCTTTAGAATTTTTCTGATTAAATGCTGTTCTACTTCATTATGACATTTTTCCACTTGTACTACCAGATTTGATGTGTACAGCTTAATAACACAACTAGACATGAATGTTAATACCTTTACAATTCATTGCATGGCTATTTGTGTGTGTGTGTGTGTGTGTGTGTGTGTGTGTGGAGCACTTACGAAATTTAGAACAAGTTTTCTCTTGCTGCAGGCTTACATGAATCATATAAATTAGATGGTAACAAAAGAACATATTAGCATTTGTTAGCCTCAATGCCCAGATTTCTGTAATACTATTTTAATACGTGCTGCTCTGTGTGTGTGCTTCCCCCCCCCCCCCAAGTTTAATATGTACTACAACTTTTCATCCTCAGGTTTTCAACCAACATCATAATTGAATCGGCTTGCTTCATGCCCAAGGATAATGATTTTACACTGATGGAATCGTTATAAGATTTGAAGAATTATACTATTGCTGTCTGCTTAGCATAGTTGGAAATTTTAAAAAATGGGTCATAAAGACATGCATTGGTAAGAGACACAGGCTTACAGGCCTGCATCCAGTTACAAGTTTGCAGATGTGCTGACTCTGAGAGAAGTGGCTCTGGGAGCAGCTGTATGCAGTGAACCTCCGTATTTGGCCTGCAAAAGCCTGTAAAGTACAGTGGTGCCTCGCAAGACGAAAAGAATCCGTTCCACGAGTCTCTTCGTCTTGCGGGTTTTTTCGTCTTGCGAAGCAAGCCCATTAGCGGTTTAGCGGGCTTAACGATCAGCTGATAAGCGGCTTAGCGACCAGCTGTTAAGCGGCTTAGCCCATTAGCCGATAAGCAGTTTAGCGGCTTGGGGAAAAGCTGATAAGCGGCTTAACGATCAGCTGATAAGCGGCTTAGCAACCAGCTGTTAAGCGGCTTAAGATCAGCTGATAAGCGGCTTAGCGACCAGCTGTTAAGCGGCTTAGCCCATCAGCTGATAAGCGGTTTAGCGGCTTGGGAAAAAGGGGGGGGGAGAGAAAGGAAAAAAACCCCAGGAACTCGCAAGACATTTTCGTCTTGCGAAGCAAGCACACAGGAAATTCGTTTTGCGAAGCACCTCCAAAACGGAAAACCCTTTCGTCTAGCGGGTTTTCCGTCTTGCGAGGCATTCGTCTTGCGGGGCACCACTGTACATTTCAGTGAGGTGTCCAAAAAACCATATAGCAGAAAAAATATTGTTATTGTATTTAAGAATCCTCTAAGCAGCTGACAACGGGCTTCTGGATAAGGAACTGTTTTGAAGATCTTTCTTACAGGATAACTGCAAGAAAACATTCCCAATGAGGAATTGACAAACATTTGCACCATCAATCCAATTAGTTTCTAAGGAAGGCGTGACATGTTTCAGTGGCAAAATGGATCTCTGTGAACAAATAGTCCCCAGAGACCATGATCACACAACCAAGTTTGCAAGAGTTCAGTTCCAGCAAGACTTCATCTGAAAATCTGTCTTCCAGTCTTGATCATGGTATCTCCCCTGTCGGGTAAGTAATCTGTCTTCCATGTAGGTATAATTTGTAGGGCACAGTAAAAATAAAGAAAAAACCCCTTTGAAATGAATAGGAATTGATGCATTGGGGCTTTCATCCAGAAAAGTTGCACGCTGAGAGGCAATTGCATAGTTGATGGTCAGAGACGAAAGAGACAGAGGGGGCAGGTAATTGTTTGTTTGTTCAAGTTGCAAAAAGAGGGACCAGGGTGAGTGGGTGAAAGCAGTCAAAACTTTAGAGAAGAGATGCAAAGCCAAGTTGTGTGAAGGTCATCCAAACTGATGGTTCGGCTCATAAACAGGATATTTTTTAGTGAAAATATTAAACATGAAGCTACATTATGCATCAACTGTACAGTGGTACCTCGGGTGGCGCTGTGGGTTAAACCACAGAGCCTAGGACTTGCCGATCAGAAGGTCGGCGGTTCGAATCCCCGCGACGGGGTGAGCTCCCATTGCTCGGTCCCCGCTCCTGTCAACCTAGCAGTTCGAAAGCACATCAAAGTGCAAGTAGATAAATAGGTACCGCTCCAGCGGGAAGGTAAACGGTGTTTCTGTGTGCTGCTCTGGTTCGCCAGAAGTGGCTTGGTCATGCTGGCCACATGACCCGGAAGCTGTACGCTGGCTCCCTCGGCCAATAAAGCGAGATGAGCACCGCAACCCCAGAGTCG